GAGCTGTTGTTCAGCATCTTAGCTGTAGAGGGCAGTGTCACTGGCCCTCATATGTGGGATCCGAACCGGGGCCCTCTGGCATCCCAAGCGCGTTCTTAACCATCGCGCCACTCGGCCGGCCCCAGATTTACTTTCTAAGTTTAATTAATTTTCATGCTCATTATCAGGACTTCTATACCACATACTTCACATCAAAAGGAGATATTTTGATTAATCTTCCAGTTAATCGATAGTATACATCTCTGAATACATTTTTTCAGAGAGAGTGGAATGTTTCAGCCCCTGTATAAGTAAGAATTATTCTGTGGCTTTTACACATGAATTAATACAGCATTGTTGAGCCACACACAGCCTTTCCCCCTCAATATATTACACACACTGTTCCATCACATCCTGTTACTCTGTGTCACTTGGGAGAAACCTGATTTTGGGGGTAATCTTTTTCTTCCTGAAAATCTGGTTTTCTCTTTTTTTTCTTTAGTTATTAGAAATTCACTATTTCACTAATTTACATCTAGGTATTGACATTTTTTGTTAATTTTGATTTTAACATCATGGGGCTTTTTCATCTGAAGATTTGGGATTTTCAGCTCAAGAAAACTATTCTCTAATTTCTGCTTCTCTTCCATTTGTTCTGGAATTTTCTTCAAAAATACTCAACACTCCCCTCCCCCCCTCAGAAAAGCCTCAAAATCCATGTATTGTCTCTCCATTCTAAAGAGAAAGTCCACTTCTTATAAATACAGCTTATCTTCTTGTAAAACCTAGACAGCCATCTTTCCCTTTTATTCCAATGCACTTTCCGAGCAAAATTTGTTCAAGTCAGAGAGAGAAGAAAAGTTTTTTATCATTATTTCGTTTATTTGTGGGGGAATCAATCAAATTTCTTTTGATTGGAAAATTTTAGTTGCCTCTGATAGAAATGACCATGGGCAGCACAGGAAAAAAGAAGGCCTTATCAAAATGGCGGCTGCCGCACTGTGCCAACAGCATCAGCCAGGCACTCTAGCTGTGCAGCACCCAGGTGTGAGGTGTATGTACCAGTGCGTAAAGTAGTGGGGCTCCCGGATGTAGGCACACCAGGCAGCCAGGCTGAACAGTGTCCTAGGAGTTTGGCAAGTCCGGGGAGCAACAAGGTTCTGTGAGGCCACAGCAGCAGTGAGTGGTACAACTGTCTCCTCCAAGGTCTTGTCTTAGTTGCTCTATTACTAATTTTCTTTAAGACAATTCTTTAAGCGCAAAATAGTTTCTGGCTGAAGGAAGATTCCATTTACCTTATACCTCAAATTGTAATTTTCTATGTTTAGCCTTTTTCCCATCTGGCTGTAGGTTAGTTTGGCCAGTTTGCCAAATATACTACTTTTTAAAAAAAATACTATTCTTCAAATTGACTGGTTTTCAACTATTATAAAGCATTTCAATATATTAACATTATCAAATATGAACAATTATCTATTTGAAGAATTTAAAATATCTAAAACTTAGTACTTAATATTTCTCATAAAACCTTCTCCGCAGTCTTCCCTATCTCAGTAATGACAGTTCCGGAAACGTGGTGTATTTCTTAACTCTTTCTCTTGCACTCCAACATCTCATATGTCAGCAAATCCTTTCAACTCTTCACAATACATCCAGAATCTGACCACTGCCACCACTGTGGACCAAGCTACTGTCATCTCTTGCCTGGATTGTTGTAATACCTTCTAAACTGGTCTCTGTTTCTGTCCTTGTCTCTCCCTAGTCTGTTTTAACCCTCTGTCGGGCGCAACTGACCTCACAGATTCATTGCACACAAATTTTCAATATCTAACAGTTAACTGAAGTATCGTGACTGATCGCTTCCATATCTTCCCCCTCTACCGTAACCTATCGCCAGTTGTGTTTGTGACTTAGTACAGTAAAAATGTATTTCATAGCGGCATCTTTGTGTGCAATAACTCTGTGAGATCAGTTGCATCCAACGGAGGGTTAAACACATTAGTCAAAGTGATCCATTTAGAATGGAAGTTAGTTCATGTCAGCCCTCTGCTTGTAACTCTTAAAGTAAAAGCTGAAATCCTTATTGTGATCCACAAAACCCCTGTGCTCTGCCTTTCGGCAACCCCTCTCCCCCAGTCAACTCTCTGACTTCATCTCCTACCACCCTTCTTCCCCTTGCTCATTCTGTTCTAACCAAACCAGCTTCCTTCCTTCTTCTCAAAAATGCCAGGATCCTGGTACCTCAGGCTTTTTCACATTTTAAGAAAGTGCTTAAATAGTTGCAATTGAGGTTTTATCTCTGTTGATTTAATAAGACTTAAAGTAAGCATGATTAAAGTCTTAAATGTTGTGTATTTCTTATGCCTAGTCATAGTCTGTCAGTGCCTGATAAGTTCTATGAGAGAACAGTGTTTCTGAAGTATATTTGTGTTTATTTTGTATTGTAGTTAGACTTCTAAATACTTACATTTGTTGTCTTTTATTCTTACAGATGTGGAGAGATTATTCCCAAAAGAGAACAGTTTAATGACCTCTCCATTGACCTTCCTCGAAGAAAAAAGCCACTCCCTCCTCGTTCAATTCAAGATTCTCTTGATCTTTTCTTTAGGGTAAATACCTTTTTGGTATTTTGACATAACTAAATTTTCTAGGTCATTGTATTTGAAGTTGATTTCTATAAGGCAGAGTTTGGAAAATATTACTTGCAGGGAAAACAAATGAGAAATATTTATAAATATTTATTTTTAAAAGCTTGGTAAATCTAATTGTTAACTCATTGAAGAAGGAAATTGATTGCTTAAGTAGATTATACATGTGACTCAACAGCAGATGTTTTAGACAGACATAGAAGCAGTTATTTGTAAGTAAATATTAATTTGAAGCATGAAGTAACGTGCTAAAATTTGGTAATGTGGATTAAAATTGGAGACACTGTTTAAGTTAGTATACTAAATTCCGAGGAATAAAGAAATACTCTTTGTTTTCGTAGGTTGTATGTACCCTATTAGAAACAAAAGGGAAGAGTCGTGTTTATCCAAAGCTGTAAATAAATATTTGTGTCTGTGATATACTGTTTCAGATTTTCTGGGCCATAATTGGACCTGTTGTGTAGCAGTCCTTAAAACTGATAAAAATTTCCCAGGATCACTCTGTCTTTATAATAGTGGTTTCTTGTTTTGTTGTAGCAAATAGTCAGGGTTGTCTTCCTAAGATTAAAAAAATTTCTGTTCTTTAAATGATGAACATTTAGCTCCACCCAAAGATAAATACTTTTTTTTGTTTGTTTTAATCATTCTTTACTATTCCTGTTATTATCGTAGAATTTGAAACTTTTTCTATGTATCTTTACCCCCATTTTTTAAGGATTTCTTGTTTCAGTTTTCTCTAGGTAATGCTATCCACCCCAAACTTTGGTCCTTTTAGAGCAGTTGTTCTTAGTGGGCTGTCACCAGAAGATTGAGTTCCATTATAAGAAAGGGGTAGAGTTACACCTAACAGACCAGGAACACCGCCCAACCTGAAGGTGATCTTATCTCTGCTATGGCCAAATGTTAAGTCTGGATATACTTTTGGCAGTGGTTCTTGTGTATCCATGGGGAAAAGGTTGAAAATTTGCTACTATAGAGTCTAGTTACTGTCATAAATTGAGATGTTTCCTTGGTAAAAAAGGAAAGTAGGAATTCTGAAATAGGGCATGATATAAGTATATTTTGAGGATTAGGTCTTAATTTGGTAAGGTATGTGATTCTAGACACAAAATATAAGCTGGTCGGAGTTGTCATTCCACTGAAGTAGTATGACTGGAGAAGATTAGTAGCATTTAATGGGGTAATGTTGATTCAACTTCATACTTCTTTATTTTTCCCTCTTGTCTTTCTACAGGCAGAAGAACTTGAATATTCCTGTGAGAAGTGTGGTGGGAAGTGTGCTCTTGTCAGGCACAAATTTAATAGGCTCCCCAGGTAAAATTAATTGTTCTTTCATTTTTCTTCTTTAAAGTGCTTACAAATATTACTGAATAAGTGAGGTTTACCAGAATGGATCGGTAAAGAAGGTCAGCAAAACTGATATATGAAAAGGGTACATGATAGAAAGCTAGAATACGTAAGAAAGGAAGAATATTTGGAATGTTGAAAAACTTGAGAGCTCCAAGAAAATGGCAACAAGCAGACATGGCTTGTGAGACTCTGAAATAATGATAAGGGCTAGCTAGTAGATTGTTAATTAATTTAGTAATATATAACATTCAGTTATAATTTGTTGTCCAGTGTTGTGCTGTAGCTTCCTTCTCTTATCCCAAACTTTTAGTAAAAGTCTGCTACAGACACACACGTGTGTGTGTAAATAAATTAGGAAGAGCAATTTTCTGCAATTTGTACTTTCCTTTATTCAGAGGATCTTATAAGTTGGTAAGTTTCCTGTAATAAGAATTCTGAATTAGGAATGAAATTAACTTATATTGTATTAGTTCTCTATAAACAAATGTATAACCAAACTAGTGAGAAAAATTATGATGTGATTATAGGACAGCTTTTAGTTCTTCCCAAGAATAGATCTCAACCACAAACAAGGTTATTATTAACATTAAGTATTTATGTGGCACTTTGCCAGCAGAGTGCTTTACTTTCTTTTATTAGCTTCAATTTTTCTAAGACTAAGTGCGAATTTCTGGAACCTAATCCCTAGAGACTAATTCTTTTGCATTCTATAATCTCTTCCTTTTTAGAAAGTGAATTTCTTTTAAAGAAATAACTTTCTAAATCATAACACTATTATTATGTTGACCATAGTCTCTATTTCTTATTTAAGAGACCTATTTTTTGCTATTTGTGAGTGTTTTGAGGCATCGAGGGTGAGGGGAGCAAATATTAAGGCAGAGAATTATTACCAGCTGTTATTAAACTAAGGAAACTGATGTACAATTAAAAATACTTGGTTGACCTGGTAAGCTGTTCCCTTTCCCATTGTCTAGCTATTTGGTTTTTCAAGTGGGAAAAAAAAATACTGAGGGGAATTTTTCTCCTTGGGTTGTTTTTGGTAGATTACCTATGTTAAAGGTTAATTTATTCCAAACTTACGTGAAATAGAAGCCTTTGTATCATAAATTCTAATTATTGGATTTACTTTGTTTTTGTTCATTTCAATATTAAAGCCAATCTAGTTTCATTCTTGGTCTGGTATCTTTATCAAATCTGTTAGTTTGTACAGATCTCATCTTTACAGATCAGTGATTTTAATTATATTGTCTGTCTGTTTCATATCACCTTTTATTTTGGTAGGATTATTTGAAAATTTAGTGAAAATATTTAACATTTGACATTAGTTTTAGTCTCCTCACATCAGTTGTATCTTTGTGTTCTCTGAAGTTGTGAATTTGAAGGTTATGAATTCTAGCATGCTTTCTAAAGAGAAATATAGTTGATAACTTTAATTTACAGATTTTTGAGTTTGTGGCTTTTGTGATAAAGGTACATGTATATGGTCAGAAAGGAAACAGTTATCCATAAATCAGACATTATTTTTGCCTACAATTGAGGTTTATTCCCATAAGAGTTCTGAAATTCAATTGTTAAAGTGTTCTTGTGGACTATGAAGTATATCTAGTCCATCAGGTAGAGATTATGTTCTGTGTCAGAGGTGAAAAGTTTGCCACTATTGTAAATAAAAGTATTTTTACAGAGCTAAAAGCCTTTTCAAACCCATAAACCAGATGTGCCATGAAATTTTATATAACTTTTTTCTAAGTGGAGAAAACTTTTCTGTTTCAGAGAAAGTGCCACTGAAATAAGAATAGTTCTTATCAGAAATCATCTTGAAAAAAATGTTGCCATCAAACACAGGCCTCTTTTAACACTTTAAATTATTGTTAGTGGTTATATAACACCTAATTTTATTTTTTTTTTGAAATTTTATTGGGGAACAGTGTGCCTCTCCAGAACCCATCAGCTCCAAGTCAAGTAGTGTTTCAGTCTAGTTGTGATGGGTTTTTCCAGGACCCATCAGCTCCAAGTCAAGCAGCTGTCCCCAATCCAGTCGTGGAGGGTGCAGCTCCCTGGCCCATGTGGAAATCGAACCAGCAACCCTGGCGCCATGAGCATGTGTGTGCTCCAATCACCTGAGCCAACCGGCCGCCGTCCTGACACCTATTTTTTTTAACTACTATATAAAATTGACATAAATTAAGGATTTAACCCAATATCAATATCAGCATTTAAAAATTTAGTGTTCTTGTCTAATGTGTTTTATTTCGTGTTTTTTTCTAGGAATGTTAGAAACCCAAACCTCATTAATCCACCCAATGCCTGTGCTTTATTTTTATTTGTGTTCTTAGTACTGAGCACAGTGCCCAGCACATGGCAGGTATTCAGTAAATGTTTTTTGGCCAAAATTTTATTTTGGCCAAATGTACTCTTTAAATCAAAAGTTACGTAACATAGTTGCAGTGATCTCTCTTCCCATAAGGGAGCTACCTCTATTATGTACGAACTGGTGATGTCATCATCTCCTGTTTTTCAGGATCCTCATTCTTCATCTGAAGCGGTATAGCTTCAATGTCACTCTCTCACTTAACAACAAGATTGGGCAGCAAGTCATCATTCCAAGATACCTGACCCTGTCGTCTCACTGCACTGAAAATACAAAATCACCCTTCACCCTTGGTTGGAGTGCGCATATGGCAATGTAAGCCCTTGAGTGAGAATTTCTTTGCCTTCCCTTTTGAAGTAGAAAGACATTATTTAGTATCTGATCAAAAGAATGACTGAACTAGATAGATAACACGACTCCCAGGTAAAATCAGACCAAGAAGGAGATTTTAATTTTGCTTTATTTGGGGATTTTGTGTTAAATTACTGCCTTACTGAAATAACTATAGTAATAAATTGAAGTAATAAAACGCTTAAACAAAATTCTTCCGAGTACATTAGTTGCCTTTCATAATAACTTACCTTTTTAGGGAATGCTCTTACACTTAATAGATCACTAGAAGAGAGTTTGATACATTTTCAGAATATAAACCTAATTTGCATGTTCATAAGAGTCATCTGAACACTAAATATACTGATTCTTGTGTTGTTTCCCTAGAAGTTCTGTTTCATTAGACTTAAGATAGGGCTTGGGAATAGATATTTTTAACAAATGCCTTTGTGACTCTTTGGGGTATGCAAATTTGGGAAACAGTGTATTAAATGTTATGCTGGGGTCCCAAAAATAGATTGTGTTTTCATAAGTGTATCATCACCAATGGGAGTGAAGAACTTCAGTGGCTCCTAAAAATTTTTCCATGAGAAAAGAAGTAACCTTTACTTTTGATTTTGCTTTATCATGTATGTTGAGGAAACCTTAGGACTTCTCTGAATGTTGCTCTTTCTTCTAAATACTTGCATTACTCTGGAGCCATATATTATAGTTCTTTTTTATACTTGAACTCTAGTTTGATAGGATCATAAAGTTTAGAACTTTAGAGGTGAATAGGATTTTAGAGATTTTATCTAAAATCTTAATTTTAGAGAGGAGATCAAAGGAGATTAAGTAATTTCTTAAGGGTATATAGTTAGTAACTGGAAGAGCCAGGTCTCTTGGCTGATATGGAATAATAGACGTTTCAAGAAGTGAATAAACATTTGCTAACATGAATTGATGCAGTTTTATAAAATGTATTTCTCCTTGGGTGAATAATTTAAATATATACTACATCATATAAGTTTACACTAAAGGCCTTAATGGGTGTACTAATAAAGACATGTTCCCAGAGAGCCTTAGTGTTTTTGGATTTTCCCTTATGGCCTTATGGCCTTTCTTTGGAATAGATGTGGGTTTTGGGGGCGTTTTTTGCTTGATGCAGTTACCCTCTGCTAATAGAGTTATTACTCTTTCTGGCAGTAGTATTATTTCACACCATCAGTGTAGACTCTATATGATCACAGGCCTGAAACCAGGCTATCTGACCCTGTAATTTAATAGTTTTAAGACTTTGGATGAAATTCCTTGACCTATCTGTAGAGAAAATAATAGAGTGGTTGTGAACATTAAATGAGGTGATACACATGAGTTCTTACTACAGTGCCTGACATCTAGTAAGTCCTCAATAAATGAGAGCTATTGGTATTTTATTGCTTAAAAGTGAAGAACTGAGACAAGGTAATTTTTTCCCAGGTGGTTCTTTTCATATGCATTACAGTTGACTTTGTTTCCAGTGCTGTTTATTTAGGTCATTGGATCAGCGAGAGGCCAGAGATGGTATTTTGTTTTCTTTTTGGCCTCTATTGCTAGTAAAAATATTACAATCGTTTGCTTTTCAAGAGGATACATAAGGGTCTATAGTATAGAATAATTCATTTTGTAAGTTAAATATATATTTTTTTAATAATGTAATTGTATACATTACATATTTTCTAATTTTCTGATAGTTCTAGACCATTGAAAGCATCTCAAATGGTGAATTCCTGCATCACCAGCCCTTCTACACCTTCAAAGTGAGTTATATTTCTTGTGTACCCCAAATTTGTGTTTTTAAGGATTTGGCTTACCCTAATTTCCAAAGGTATCCCCTCCCCTTTTCTTTATTGTTTCTCTTTTTGCATGATAACTGCTCTGTATTACTATACTTCGGAATTTTCCTGAATCTGCTTTAAACCATAATCTAGGTTATAAACAAGTTTTTAACAGTGAAGCAAATTCAGATGATCCTCTCAAAATTTTGTTCTAAAACTTCTTAAATCATCTGTTAATATGTAATATTTTCATCCTACAATGCTAGAAAGTGACTGATGAGGAATTTTAAGGATTGAAGGGATGGAATAACGCCTGTTGGTGTAAAGCGCTGTTGCTCAAAGATACGCATGGAGATCCCAAAGTATCTTTTTACTTGTTGCTAACCAGTCTGGAAATTCTTGTCTTAGACACTGAGCTGGAGCTATTCTGAAAGGGGATAGGAAAACAAACACACACTGGGATGTAGCTGTTCTACAAGTATATTTATTTATTTTTGCTTAAGACCAAAAGTTTGTCCAAGAAGGGAAGCAAATACTTTTTTTTTAACATACCTCTTCTGTGATTAAATTAGAACCACAGTTCCTGATTAGACAATCCTGAATGACTTGCTTGTCATTGATCTTTAAATTTAGTTTTTCTAAAAATTTGATATCCCAAAGTACTTTTAGAAAAAAGACACTTGTTGTTTAAGGGTTTTGGGGGGGGCTTATATAACCATAAAATGACATTTGGGAACTGCTATTTTCTTTTCCTCCTGTTAATTATTTTTCAGTGCAATTAAAACCAGATGACTAACATGACTAGAAATCTGAATTGGTACCGATATGAATACTCTTGCCCGTTCTCAAGATACAAATGAGCAATACCACTTGGCTGCTTAGAAAGTGAGCAAGTGATGCATTTACAGGATGAATATTTTTCATTACTACAGGCAAGCTGCCTTCTGTGAATATAGTAACTATTAATGGAATGCACTCTTTATGTACCAGATCACTATAGTTTGAAGAAAGAGATGGTTTCATTGGGCATCATTTTACTTGGCATGGTCATCTGTTCTCCAGGGTCTATTGGTATCAGAATTTGAGAATTGGTCACTAAAGGATGAGTAGGCCCTAGAAGACCTGTCATGCCGATCAAACTTAAAAGAGGCTGAGTTATGAACCAGAACATCATTGGTTCTTCCACAGTGTCCTTTGTCACATTTGACCCTGGTATATTAGTAGCCAGGTGTCACCCTCATTTAGCAAAGTATTTACGTGGATAAACAAATTAATATGTTCAGTTTTGCTTTGGTAAGCATGAAATCAGAAATGAGGAATTAAGATGGCTAATTGGCTATTTCTAAGTTACACTAAAAACCCTTCTGAAGACATAATGGGAGGCCATTCAAGTGCTCAGGCTGGAGTGCTGTGATATCCAGGCTGCTCTCAGCCACAGACTGTTTGGGTTGATCACTGACCACTTGCCTCTTTTCTTTGATCTACATTGCTATGCACTTCTCTTGGTTTCCATTGTGGCCTCTTATTTCTTGGTGCCATCATTCTGTATGTTTATTTACAGTTTTCACATTTAGATTAATTGCATTTTTCCAATTTCCATTTTACATTTTTAGGATAGCATATGAATTTATGTTAACCTTCATCAAAGAAAATTTGTGCTTTTGGACCTTTACCACTTTTTTTTTTAGTTTATTTTCAGCTCACTTAGAAGACAACACAGTAACACCTTACTTATCTGGTATCATTGAAGAATGATATTTGATATTCCACATAAATGAATTTTTATATAACTGAAGCTTGCCTTTTTAAGCATTAATCTTTTTTTTAACCTTTTTAGGTGGTTATAGTCTCTGTGACTTTACAGAACTTCTTATATTCTTAAATAAAATATACTGAAGATAATTTATATTATAATGACTTAGAATCAGCATTGAGTATCAGTTATTGCACTGTGTTTTAATATCATAATGCCCTCAGAGGCTCTTAATTGTTACAAGACAGTTTACCTTTATATTAAATGACTTTATAGGTCTTTATTGCCTTTTTTGTGGTTATTCTCTCTCACTTCTTAGCTCTCATTTCTTGATGAACTTGCTACATTATTTTATGCATCATTTCTTGGGAATGAATGGTCCCTTTCTAAAGAGTAAAGTGCATGGGCTTTGAATCTGCTGCCTTCCTCAGAAGCCTTTTTTCTTACTTTTGAATCCCTGTATTCTGGAAGGTAGAGGTTGCCAGAAATCTGACCTACATATAATTGGATAAGTGGAATGTTACTGTTAATTTTAAAACACATGGATCATAATTTAAAAGATAAAAAATTAGTCCTCATGCACTCTGTTGTCAAAAACATCTATTCATTGCTATGTCTGCATGCATTCAGTAGAGTACTTGTTTTATAAAAACCATAACAAACTTCTTTGGGGTTGATCATTAAAAGAAAAAAGGCACAAAGTGATTGGTTTACTGATATGTAATAGCATAAGAATTGTCTAATTTTCAAAGCATGACTCTTTTGGAGTGGGGCAAAGGTAATATTTAAATATAACTTTTTTTGGTATATCTTTTTTTTCTTAGTTAAATCATTTTCCATAATGGAAAAGCTTTTTGTTTTATTTTTATATTTATGCATCAAAAGATACCAAGGACAAATATTTATTTATCAGACTTATATAGGTTTTTTTTTTTTTTCTTAAATTACAGGAATTTCCCCTTCAAATCCAAGAGCTCCTTGGCTTTGTGCCTTGATTCAGACAGTGAGGATGAGCCAAAACGCTCTGTGGCCCTTAGCCAGAGACTTTGTGAAATGTCAGGCTGCGAACAGCAGCAGGAAGACCTGGAAAAAGTAAGTAATTTCTTAGCAAAATTTCTGACAAAGATTGTAGGTCTTACTGTCCAAACAAATGCCTTTCATAACCAGCATCAGCAAACTTAATACACAAGATAGATCATAAACTCAGTGGATCTAAACACTAGTTAATTTAGAGTGTGCCTTCTGTAGCTACAAAATAAGTCTGTTTCAAGATGGACTGAGACTTTTTTTTATTGAGGCATGATTGACATATAACATTAGTTTCAGATGTACAACATAAGGATTTGATATTGTATATACTGTGAAATGATTACCATAGTAAGTCTAGTTAACATCCATCACCATCCATAGTTACAAAATTTTTTTTTCCTTGTGATGAGAACTTTTTTTTTTTTTTAAAGATTTTATTGGGGAATTGGGGGAGGGAAACAGCGCTGGGGAATCGGGGGAAGGGGAACAGACAAGTTGCTATTGTTTTGTTCTTCAGTCTAGTTGTGGAGGATGTTGCTTCACTGGCCCAAGTTGGCACCATCATTGCGCCCTTCCCAGGCGAAGCAGATCAGTCGCCAGCCTCTGGAGAGCTGCTCACGGCGGCTGCTGGCCGCTCGCGCTGGCTGCCGGCTACACATGGTAGCTTATGGCAGCCCACTGCAGC